CGCGATGTTTTCGTCGCGCTGTGATGACGTCAAATGCGCGCTTTCGTCGAGCGCGATTTTGACGGGTCACGCAGTTATTCCACATTTTCTCTTATTATTGTTTTCATTTTATTATATAAAAATGTATAATTGCTATTCCCCTTTCTCTTATTTCTATCTTCTATTCTAGCTTTTAATCATATCACCCTTTATTAGAAGACTTCCTTTCTTTCCTTTCTAACTTCTAATCATGTCACCTATCTTAAAAAAAAGAGAAAAGAAAAGAGAGAAAGAGAAAGGGAGAAGCAAATCAGAATAACAACATAAAAGAAATCATCCATCCATTGTCTCTTGCCTGCTTCAATACTTTAATTGCTATGCTTTAAGAGAAAGAGAGGGAGAAGGAAAAGCAAACCAAAACAACAATGATTAAAGATAATAATAATCATCGTCTATTCATCGTCTCTGGCCCACTTCAATACTTCAATTGCTATGCTTTTTTTTATTTTACTTGCCTTCCAAGTTCCTTCCTTAGATCTTTATCTGTCTATGTTTGCTTCTTGATATTCCTAGATTGGGGGGGGGAACACACACAGGACACAGGTATTTTGAAGTACTGTCTACTTGGGTTTTAGAAGCTGCTTGATGTTATATAAAACCTCTCGAGAAAGCTAGTCCGTTCTGTGTAAGAACATTTTCCTAATAGTAGAAAAATTGATTTTTTTTTATTAATTGTTGAAATGATTACCTCTTTCACTCCCTCCTCAGAAAAACCCTGCCCCCTTATATCTTGGAAATACCTTCTTTAGTAATAAAAATGATTTCCACAAAAACCTGTTATTCATCTAACAATCAAAAGTTGCAGCGCAGGCATTACGCTCAATTGTTCAGGATAAGAAAGAGTAGCACACTTTGTTGTCCAAAGTGCTGATCGACAATACAATCATTTTTAACTGTACAGTTAATTGGATTAATTTAAAACTGCACATGCTTCTATCAGCTGAATTGGAATCCAAGCCTCTAAAGGTTTTTACATCTAAAAGCCCATCTTTGCTTTCCTGGAAAAGTATGTTTATAGGGGTTAATTTTACCCACATTTAAAAACAGAAGGGCCTTAGAAAAAGAAATGAAATAAACTGACAGGAAGAAACCACGCATTTCATGTTGTATTACATCCGATACCCTATAGAGCCGTGATGGCAAACCTATGGCAGAGGTGGCACACAGAGCATTCTCTGTGAGCATGCGTGCCATCGCCAGCTGCTCTTCTGGTTTCTGGCATTGGTCTTTGTGGGCGTTGGAGCGCCGGAAAGCCGCCTGAAAACAGCCCGAAAAATGGCCAAAAAACCAGTCTGTTTTTGGGGGTCAAAAACGACCTGAAAACAGCCAGAAAATAGGCATTCGTGCACTGGCCAGCTGGTCTTTGGGTTACCAACATTCCGGCGCATGCACATGCATGCGCGTTCTGGTTTGGGCACTCGGTGTTGAAGAGGTTATGTATGACTGAAGCCAACAACTGAAAATGCAGGAACAGGGGACAGTGAAGTAGAAAAATGCCACTTTTGATCAAAGACCGTACCGTTTCATTTGTGTATGCCTCTGCTGGATGAAGTTGGCGCCGGGATGGACTTCGGGACCATTTCGTACCAGTTTCCTCATGAAGGCGATGTTGGCTTTGTTTACCTGCAGGAGAAAGAAAGGAAATGCACCTTTAAAGGTCCAGAGTGTAAGGGAAAACAAACCTTTACGATGACCTAAAGAACTCACCCAGGCGTCCTTAGAAAGCAAGAAGCAAAGCCTTGATCCCAACAAAACCTTTTTTTATTTACACAACTGTGAATTCCTTTCTTCCACTGTCAGCAAGGCTTAGCAAACAGTCTTTCAGAGGAATGTTTATCCACATGCACCTTATCTTGTTTAGAGTGCTGCCAGATAAGTAGTTTCCAAACACAGGGCAAAGCAAAACTTGACACAGAGTCTCTTATAATCCCAAACAGAACTTTCCACTGTTGACATGAATGAATTGTTTCCTGCAAAAGTCCACTCCCCTTTTGTTTCCTATGGGAGGGGCCAATCACCTCCAAGGTGTGGCTTTACTCTTACGTTGACCCTGCTTTCTTAGTGGTTCTTGTCTTCTGGCAGCTCTGCATATGCACACATTGGGAACAGGCTCCAGCTGTTCTTCAGCCTCACTGTTGTCTAACTCCCTCTCTGCCTCTGACGCAGAGCCCTCATCTGAGCTTTCCTCAACCCCCAGGACTGGCCCATGTTCCTTCCCAACTTCCTCATTGTTCAAGCAGGGAACCTTATTTCATTTCAGACAAATGGCTATCCAACCTCTTCTTAAAAACCTCCTGTGATGAAACACTCACAACCTCTGTGGG